ACAGACCAGCATCAAGGAGCTCAAAGGTAGTGGTCCATACAAAATATAACGGGATAAGAGAGCTGGATGGCTCCACTAAAGTTGCTAAAGATAGCTGATTAGCTGCTGGACACTGTAAATGTATAAACACGTGGTCAATCGCCATAGCAACTATCTAATCTGTTTCCATGGAAATTCTAATTAGCATTCGCGAAAATTAGTCGTCCTATGGTACTTACAATGATTCTCAAAATCTTACAAAAGAAATGTAAAATCCTCTGTTGTTTGTAAGTGCTGTACACCATAATCAGTTTTTTGTCACTAGTCCACCAGATAAATGCACGCATTTTTGCAATTTGAAAGTGGTAGTAAGAATGGGATTAAACTTTACATGTACATAAAATAGAATTATTTTTTACAATTCAGAACGAAAATAAGTCAGAAAAAAGAAATAAGACTGCAAACATGCATTGCAACTCCTAGACTTCATAATAACAGTTTATCATTGCACTGTCACAGTCATAGTCTGTCGCTATACGGCCCAGTAAAATCATAGTCTGGCCACCCAGACCCAACCCCTGCGGGAGAAGGGTCTGGTACAATGCTTAACAAGACTTTGTGCAGAAAGAAGCCAAGAAATGTATGACGAAAGATGACTTTTAATTGATTGTTAATATTAATATTTTAATAATTTTATATTTTAATAATTTTTATAATAGTTAAACACGTGTTAAAAGTTCCATGGAGAGTGCTGTGACAGAAGCTGCTAGGAGAATGGGCTATTTAACGCTAAAAGAGGAACAAAAAGCCTCAATCATAGCTTTTAAAAAGGGTTTGATGTGTTTGTGGTGCTACCAACCGGTTTTGGTAAAACTGTTTGTTACAGTTGCATACCAGTAGCAATAGACTTGTACACTACACCAGAGCAACCATCTATTGTCATTGTTGTCAGCCCATTGACATCTTTGATCAAAGATCAAGTAATGAGTCTTTCAAAAAGAGGGATCACTGCTAGTTATGTTGATGCTGACTCGTCCATTGAAGAGAAAGATGATGTTGCTGCTGGAAAGTTCCAACTTGTCTTCATGAGTCCAGAGTTATTAGTATGGAAATGGAGGGCATTGCTGACTAGTTCTGTGTATTGCAAACATCTTGTAGGTATTGTAATAGATGAAGCTCATTGTGTTGTTCAATGGTTAGTTTCACTATTATATCTCATAATTGTTACAGTATTATGTGTATTATGATTATAGGGGATTGACTTTTCGAGAAGCATTTTCTCAACTTGGTGAACTACGAAGTGTGATGAAGTGTAACTTAAATATAATGGCATTGACTGCTACTGTCACAAAAGCAATGAGGACAAATATTGAACGTCTTCTTGGCATGATCAATCCAACAAGAATAATTCGCTCTCCAGATAAAGATAATTTAAGATTATCTTGCATTGATGTAAAAGGTAGTATCAGTACTACAATGGATATTATTCTCAATGAAATACAAATGAAACGCACATTGTTGCCTAAGATTATTATCTTCTGCAAGAATACTTTTGATTGTGCCAAACTATATACATACTTCGAGATGAGTATGGGACCCAACTTTACAGAGCCACGAGGAGCATCTCACTCTATTCAGGAATGCCGTCCAATAGATATGTACTTTAAAGGTACAGAAACATTAGTGAAGAATAAAATTGTTGAAAATTTTACAAAGCCTTCTTCTTGCCTAAGAATGGTTATTGCCACAGTGGCATTTGGGATGGGTTTAGACTGTCCTCATATTCGTCTAGTTTTGCTTTATGGCATACCATCTGATGTTGAAACTTACATACAAGAGGTTTGTAGGGCAGGTAGAGATCATCAAGATTGTTATGCTGTGGCATTATACCCAAGAAAGCTGCTGTCTGTGTGTTCAGATACAATGGTTTCATTTTCTGAGACTAAAGAAAAACTGCAGAAGAGATGCTGTGTTTTCTGATTTTGAGCTGTATCACCATAATCAGGCTATCAATACTGGATGTCAATGTTGTGATATTTGTGCCAAAACTTGTGATTGTGGTAACTGTAAAGAGAAATTAAGTTCTTTTTACTCCTTTATGCCAATTTTATTTGGATTGTCTTAGCTAACAATAATATATCACTTAAATAATTATGTTATATTCATATTTATCACTTGTTATTCATTTAAATCTATTAATGCAATTATACTAATACAATTTCACTGCATGATTAAATATTTCTTATGTTGCTATAGATTCTGTTTTCAATTTACTCCTTAAATCTGAAAGATGTTCTTTTCTGCACTTTATAAATGTATCTCTCTTAAATGGTGGAAAAAGACTACTGTATTCTGTTTTTATCTGCCTATGTTTCCTATTGCTGATGTGATCAAAAACCTTGGCTTCCACAAGTTGCTGTACAACTATTTTCTTGTCTTTTTCTGTACTAGCCCTTGAATGAACACCTAGATGCTGTGTTACTTGCAATTCTTTGTCAAAAGAAGTAATGGCTTTCTCTAGCTCTCCAACACACTTACTAGAACGAGTTAATGCTTCATTAGTTTTGTTAGAGCCCAGATTTGAAAGTGTATCCTTACAGATACGGTTAAGGTGTTCTAAGTGAAGATCGCAGGGAATATCCCGACGTAGAATGCCATGTATGTTAATGTATCGACTCCAAATTAACTGTGATGCTTGCCTTGCTGAGAACCAAAAATGATACTGAGCCAGTAAATTTAGTGCTTCAATGCTATAGTTATATCTGCTTTAAAAAAAACAACAAATAACGCCAACATTTTAGTATTCTGAGGCCATCTGCTTCTCTGATGCTGTCCGAAAATTCAAAATATAGCAGGCCATATGACATTCACTTCATGGCATACCTCTGCACTTCATCATCAGTAACATCTTCTATGTTTTCATGTGACATATCAGTAATTGTAATGTCAATGTCGATATAGTGGTGAAGAAAATCATTTAACATTGCTTGGAGTGTATCTTTTCTCTTATCATCATCAGATAACCACAAATCAGTTGTCAGTAAAGGATGGCTCGGAACGTCATCAGCATTCTTTAAGGCAAAAAATTGCATCGCAGCTGATATTATGTGACCCCTTACAACTAAGCTGAAGCAATCATCACATGAGTTGTACTTTCCTGTAGCTGTTGCAGATATGTCCCTTCTATCGATAGCATTTCTCAGTTGGTAAAGAGTGCCTTTATCAGTCAGGCTTTTTGTGTCGTAAAGGTGCTTCCAAACAACCTGAATGATAGTTATTAAGATAACTGTAATGAATTAATGATGTTACTATACATACCTCTAAAAATATCTGCTTAGCATGCCAATCTTCACAAATTGGCAATAAACCTTGTAATTGCTTCAGAGGAGTGAGACTATTTTTTCTGCTTTCCTTCACTCCTTCAGCACGCTTCCTTGTCAACTGGTTACCTCCAAATAAAATGCTATGTAACTTATTTGCTGACACTTCTTTATTTGTTATTTGGTCAATTCCAGTGACAGGTAAAACAGGAACATATTTCTCCAATGATTCTAGAATTTCTATCATCTCTACTGGTACATTCTCATTTTTCAGTACTACTCCCAGGGGTACCTGCAATTTAATAATGATGGTAAATTGAACACATAAAGATTAAACTCACCACTTCTGATTTCTTTTTCATTTCCTTAGAATAAAGATGATCGATATGCTTCGGAATAATGTCACTAAAGGTTTTCTTGACGAACGCGAATTCCTCCATTAAAATGCGAGCTATTAGGACAGTGAAGTTATGAAGCATCATTTGCTTATCAGAGAGAGAGGGTAACATAACATCAACAGGAAGAGCTTCAATAGGTGTCATAAAATGTGGATTCATTTTATCAGATATGCCACTGAAATCAACACGATCTTTCACTGCATACAAGTGAAAACAGTGAAGAGAGCTAGTCTGCTTGTCAATACGTCTGTCCCTGAACACATAAATTTTTGAAACGAATTTCATATCAATACAAATACCTTGGCACTATATTTTTATCGATATTGTCACCAACTATCTTAAAACCATTCCAATTGTTACACTGTATTAAATACAGTGTTATTGCAACACCTGTAAGGGTGTCATGGCTATCCTTTAACTTTGACACAAGTTGTAGTGTTGTAGTAACACCCCTCTTTCAATAGAACAACATCAAGCTAGATTGATTCAACACCCCAATAGTAAACAACACCCAAATTTGTGACACCCACGAGTGTATACCAACACCTCAGTTTTAACAGTGTATGAATAGTTTCTTCAATTTGTGCTAAAATTGAAAGTATTCCAGTTTCATCATTATTTCAACTTACATATGCATTCAGTTTCTCCTGTTGATACAGTATCATCAATGTGTGTCCCCCTTGGCAAAAGGCTGCTAAATATGTGCTAAGATTAAAAAAGAAAAAGCGTAAATATATATACTTGATAAATTTTCAAATGATGGTGGTTTTATTGAACCATGAGTAGAAGAAACTGGGCTATCAATTCTGTCCATGCATTCATCTTCACTACACTGTATTAAATACAGTGTTATTGCAACACCTGTAAGGGTGTCATGGCTATCCTTTAACTTTGACACAAGTTGTAGTGTTGTAGTAACACCCCTCTTTCAACAGAACAACACCAAGCTAGATTGATTCAACACCCCAATAGTAAACAACACCCAAATTTGTGACACCCACGAGTGTATGCCAACACCTCAGTTTTAACAGTGTAGATACTAAAGAATCGGCTGCAATGCTTTTGCTTCCATCATTTTCAATCTCTCTATCTTCATGCAATAAACTGGTACTTATCATCAAGTGATCAATTTCAATAGGATCCTACATTCAAAATGAAATAAATTAACTTTTAACTTAAATCAACTATCGTACCTCATCAGTGATATCACTTGGAGTTAGGCTTTCTTTCCATTGCAGAACAGAAAAATCATGGTTTTCTCCAAGTAAAGAAATAAGATTGTAAGTACTGTTCTTGCTCATGGATATCATCAATTTCTGTAAACGATCATATACCTAGTAATAATACTGCACTCCCAGTGTGGCCTGCATATAAAATCAGTGACACTAATCTTTGCAATAATGACATGTTACTTCGATGAAACTTTGCTAGTAAACAAACAACAACACAAACCAGATGACTTTGATTAGCTTTGAGTTTGGTGCAATTGAAGAGAAGAGATGTGAGACTAGGACAATGTAAAATACATTCCTCTAAGACCTTCTTCCAAAGAAAATTACTGAGATTCTTTTTTGACTTAGACTTCAATATTGAATTTGCTTTGTCACTGCACAGATTCCTGACTTCATACTTCAACAACTTTCCAAAACCAATAAGCAGCCATTTCTTTGCTTCAGGATCTTTCAATGCATGTTTAGCCAAACTCTTAGCACAGTTAATGGATCGAGCAAGAGTCTTTCCATACTGCATTCTTCTAGGACTGAGACAATAAGACCTTGTTCTAGCTGGATAATCCAAAGTGATCTACATAATGAACATGAAACATAAAATGAGTACTGATGCCGGCATTGCAACTTACAGACACAGATGTACTGGGTTGTTGCTTGGAATTTGACCTTGATTGTGTAGTCACAGGATCAAGTCTTAACCTCTTAGATGATGGTTCTGATGAAGATGCAGGTGACTGAGGTTCATGAGAGGGAGAATGGGCTCGATCAGTCTCTATCAAATTACTAAATCAACAAAAATTATGTCACAGTAGCTAAGACAAATATCACCTTAAGCTGTTATTTAAAGCTTCCATTAAGGTTGCCTGCTTCTTGCTATATGCTTCATAAGCACAATAGCATGGTCTGCAAAGAAATGACTTGCCTAACATTGAATCCAAATCACGCTCCTCCAAATCAACATTCCTTTCCTCAAACCATCTACAGAAAAGTTCCTTAAGACTAGGCAATACAGAAGCACTAGCTGGTGTATCTAATGATCTTCTTTTAGCTACCACAGCTTCTTTTCCACAACCAATGCATTTAATCTCAGTACCAGTACCAGACGCCATTGTTATTTTTAATAACTAGCTACAATAACTGCTATGAATATTAAAATAATGACATATTATGACAATTCGAATCTTGATTGGTCACGTCGGATTTCTGACGGCTGCACAAAGTCTTGTTAAGCATTGTACCAGACCCTTCTCCCGCAGGGGTTGGGTCTGGGTGGCCAGACTAGTAAAATCACCGCTCCTACATAAAGAGAACCTTACACACAGTAATAATACCTTTACTTACTGATATTCAGCTACTTTGCAGACCTATTTTCTTTGAAACCAGTAGAGTACAAGTGCTAGTAAGCATAGGGGTAGGCAGGGTGAGGCATGGAGGGGCAATGCCTCACCTGACTCTGTGAGCTCAAATGTTACCAATCAAGCCTCATTCAAGTTGAGGTAGTCAGAGGCACTCCTTTGATTCTTTCTTTTACAGCAGTATAGGCAGAGGAAGTCAACTATCTTGAAATGATGATGTCATTGATTGTTGTTATGATCTCAAAATGATAGTCTAATCAGTTTTTATAATCACTAATCAGTTAACCACGTTGAGGCACGTATGATGGCAAGCAAAAGACAAGCTTCTGTGCTTTCACACCTTCTCTCAAACCCAAAATGGCCCACTAGGCAACTGAACCAGGATCATCATATGAATCTGATAATATTTTGTAAGTACGAGATTATTATCATCTTGTACTGTGCGTGGAAATATGCGTAAATGTCAGCGATGGAAAGGGGTGTGGTCAAACTTGCGGCGCGCTTCACGCACCATTTTCTTTCCTTTTCCCTTTGCCTTACCTCTCTTCTTAGGCTCGCTATGCCTATGCTAGTAAGTGCCACTTAGTATAAGTAGTAGATGGTAGAGTCGAGGTAGAGTAGCCTTGAAAGAGTAGTATAGAGAGTAGCTGCGCAGTGGGTAGAGACTAACCTGCTCAC